TGTTTGGGACAATGAAAGCAAGGAAACATAGGATTGAGAAGGCGCTGACAAAGCTGGAAAAGCTGGAAATGTCTACTACTTTAGTTAGTCAACGCCAAGCTCTAGAAACTGAGCTGAATAAAATACTAGAACAAGAAGATCTACTGTGGAAACAAAGGTCAAGGTCTGACTGGCTAAGGGAGGGAGATAAGAACACTAAGTATTTCCACAGAAGGGCATCAGAAAGAAGAAGAAGAAGAAGAAACACCATCAAGAATCTTAAAGATGAAAGGGGAGCCTGCTTTGAAAGGCAGGAAAAGGTGACTGAGTGTCTTGTAAACTTTTACAAAAACCTCTTTAAAGCGGGAGAACGAGTACAAAGTAGTGTTATCCTAGAGGCTGTCCCAAGAAAGGTTTCGGATGCTATGAATGAAGAATTACTTAAGCCTTTCACAAGAGAAGAGATCTGGGGAGCATTAAAACATATGGGACCTCTAAAGGCCCCAGGAGCAGATGGTCTCCCAACTATGTTTTTTCAGAAAAATTGGGACATTATTGGTGATGATGTTACAAGGGAGTTACAAGGGTTCTTAGAAGCAGGAGCTTTCCCTCAAGCTCTCAACCATACTCTGCTGACTCTGATTCCTAAGAAGAAGATCCCCAAAAGCCCTGTGGACTTCAGACCCATCAGTTTGTGCAAGGTTCTATACAAAATTCTATCAAAAGTTCTAGCCAACAGGCTTAAGAGGATTTTGGGAGATATCATAGTAGAAAACCAGAGTGCATTCGTTCCTGGGAGATTAATTACAAATAATATCATCATCGCCTTTGAGTGCTTCCACACCATGTCTCAGAAAAGGCAAGGAAAAACGGATTTTATGGCTGCTAAACTAGATATCACAAAAGCTTATGACAGAGTCGAGTGAGAGTTCCTTGAGGCTATCATGGTTAAACTGGGATTTACGAGAAGATGGATAAATCTAATAATGACCAGTGTCTCTACGGTCTCCTTTTCTATCCTAGTGAATGGTCATCCGACAGAGACTTTCTTCCCTTCTAGGGGTATAAGGCAGGGAGACCCCATCTCCCCCTACCTATTCTTACTTGTTGCAGAAGGTTTGTCAAGCTTGATATCCAAGGCAGAGAGGGAGAAGCAGATTAGTGGGTTGAGGGTTAGAAGAGAAGCACCAATAATTTCACATCTATTGTTCGCTGATGACAGCATCCTTTTCACTAAAGCCACAAGACAAGAGTGTGAGAAATTAAAGAATCTCCTAAGACTCTATGAGGAAGAGTCAGGACAACAAGTGAATCTAGTGAAATCAGAATTGTCATTCAGCCCCAACATCAAGATGGAAACTCGAGTACAATTGGCGACTATACTAGGGATGAAAGTGGTTGAATCCCATGAGAAATACCTGGGGCTGCCCACCAGAGTGGGTCGTGAAAAGAAGGTCGTCTTTGGTTATCTGGTTGATAGAGTGAGACAAAAGGTTAAGCACTGGAAAAGCAGCCTGCTATCGATAGGAGGAGAGGAGATCTTGATAAAGTCCGTTGCACAAGCTCAGATGACTTATGCCATGTCTCTGTTTCAGATTCCAATAGGCACTATACATGAAATTCAAAGGCTCATAGCCAATTTTTGGTGGGGACAACAAGAAGAAGAAGGCATAACACATTAGCTGTGTTGGGAAGAATTATGCAAACCAGAAAAGATAGGAGGAATTGGTTTCAGGGACCTACAAAGCTTCAACAAGGCCCTTTTGGGCAAACAAGTCTGGAGACTCATATCTAGACCTATTTCCCTGGCTGCTAATGTGCTGAAAGCTAAATACCACCCAAATAGAGATATTATGGATATAATCCGAGTTTTATTTGGCGGGGGTTACTCTCTGCGAGGGAACTGGTTGCGAGAGGTTACAGATGGAAGTTGGAAAATGGCAGTAGTATTGATATCTGGCAAGACAAATGGGTTCCAGACGCTCAGGGCTTCAAAATTAAAACCCCCGTGTTTCCAATTGGGGAAACCACTTCTGTAGCTGAGTTGATTAACTACGAGGAGCATTGCTCGAACATGGAGTTATTGCAAGAGCATTTTTTACAGGAAGATCAAATCAGCATCCTCAAAATTCCTATCCCCAGGGTGATGACTAGGGATGAAAGGGTATGGTGTGCAGAATAGACAGGGGAATATTCAGTTAAATCAGCTTATAAGCTCTGGATGGATCGAGATGAGGAAGTGAGGGGGGAATTTTATTCTCCAGTCAATTGGGAAAGATTATGGAAGCTAAATATCCCCCAAAAAGCATGGACCAGGAAACCGGATCGTACCGGCCGGTTCAACCGGTTTAACCGCGAATTCGACCAATAGCGATACGGTATGCTGATTGGTATCAGAATATCGGACCGACCGGTTTTTCCGGCTTAACCGATACAAAAGGAAAAACCGGCCGGCTTTGGTCTGACCGGCGGTAGGTTTACACTAGGGAAAACGTCGCCGCTTTGGTTTTATACTAAAAAAAAAAAAGGCCAAAGGCCAAAAACGCATAACCTAATTTGAGCCTTCCTCTCGTCGCATCTTCTTCCCCAGCGCAGCCCCGCCCGCCGCTTCTCCTCCTCTCCTCTGGCAGTCTGGCGATTGGCGACTGCAGTTGCAGTGGCGACGCGCGACCGGTGACACGTAACCCGCGACTTGGCGACTGCAGTGGCGACGCGCGACCGGCGGTGACACGTTTCCGCGACCACCTCTCCGGCTCTCCATCGCTCGTCTTCTATTCTTCTCTGGCGACGCGACTGGCGCTGATCCCTGCGCTCCGCCGCTCCTCTTCTCTGATGTCCTTCCTCGTCTGAGGTCTGGGTTTGGTCATTGGTGGCAGGAAGGAGCTCGCCAAGTTCTCTCCTCCTCAGGGCTCAGGCGCGCAGCTGCTCGATCTGCTCAAGAACGCCAAAAGGGCAATTAATCCCACTCCACCATCAATCCCCTTCAACTTCTCTGTCCTTCTGTCACTCCCTCTCTCTCTACTTAGTCTCGAGCGGAAGCAGGGCAGTGTTGAAGAAAAGGTAAAGGTAAAGTGAGCAGACGGATTGTTATTTTTCATTTTTGACAATAATTCCAGTATATGATAGGTAGTTGAGCAGCACTATTTGCCAATTACCACCTACATCGATCTCCATTTCATGATCTAGTTTCCATGGCGCACCTTGTTGAATTTTATATTACATATGCTTATTTAGTTTATTCAGGTTTGTTATCCGGTATATTCCGGTTTTATTCCGGTATTATTCCGAAACGGTATCCCGAATCTGCCGATACGGTTTTTTAACAAAAAAATATTATTTAATTACAAAAACGGTATTTTGCCGGTACACAACGATTGAACCACGGTAGTACCACAAAATACCCTACCACTGGCGGAGCCGGTATGACTTCCGGTACGGTTTCCTTTACCATGCCAAAAAGTGAAAGTCTTCGCTTGGAGGTGGGTTCCCAATATTCTCCCTACAGGTGCTAAAATTGTTCAAAGAACGCAACAAGGCAGTGAAGGGTGTCCGTTTTGTGACCTTAAAGAGACTCAAAACCACATTTTCAAAGACTGCGACTGGGTGCAGAGAGTTTGGAGACCTAGTCCACTTCTACCTATGTTCAAAAAGGGTAAAGATCTAACCTCGGAAGAATGGTTCTGTGAGCTGCAGGAGACGGAGGACGACGAACAGATTGGAAAATTCCTTGTGGCTCTGTGGTTTATCTGGGATCAGAGAAATTGTCAATTGTGGAATAAACCGAAATTGGAAGAGTGGGAGATTATGGCACGGGCAAGTAGATGGATTGTGGAATACCTGGAGGCGCAGCAGAAGAGAGATCCTTTGCCTCAAGCATCAGCAACGAGCTGGTCCCCGTCGATTGAAGTTGATTTCACACTGAATGTCGATGTTGCATGCTTGACGGACCAAGGAACGGGGCTGGGAGTCGTTGTAAGGAACAGAGCCGGAATCTTTCAGTTGGCTGCAGTCAGGCAGACGAGGCGATAGTGGAATCCGGATATTGTAGAAGCTATGGCGGTGGACTTCGCCGTCGATCTGGCTGGCCGACATCATTTCTTTCACAACGAAGTTCAGACGGATTGTCAGGTAGTGGAGCGGACATTGCGAGGAGAAAGACAGACTATGCTGGAGTTGGGTCGAGTGTGCAAAGAGATCAATGACAAGGCTTTGGAGATGAGTCGGTTCTATTGGAATCATGTGGGCCGAAAATGTAATGAACCGGCCCATTTTATGGCCCATATTGAGTGTGAGTGGGAAGGGGAAGCTGTTTGGGTAGATAGACCTCCAATGCCGTTATTCCCTCTTTTACAAAGGGATGCTGTTGACACAAGTTTTCCCATGAATTAATAAAAGCAGAAGTATTTCCATAAAAAAAAAGGCATTTGCAATAAGTTGGGAGGCATTCTATTAGTTGCAAACCACCTAGCTAGCAATCAAGAATCAACAACCTTGTGGACCAATATATTTAAACCCGGATTATAGGTATAATATGCTCCTCTACTATTTTTTACATCAAATATGCCCCTATACTTTGTGAAAATGATCAAACATGCCCTTTTGTTAAAATTTTCATCCAAAAACCGTTAACCAAGGCCGAACTTTAGTTTGGGCGACATAAATGACTAAAATATCCCTAATAAATTCACTTTAGAATTTTTTTGATTCTTTTGTATAATCAAATCATTCAAATAATTTCACTTTGAAAAGACCGAGTGAAATAAAACAGGGGACAAAACTGACATTTTCCTCCCATTTGCCGATGTCGAGTCGTCTAAATCTCGGTTCAACCATGATTGACAATTTTTTCAATGAAAATTTTAACAGAAGGGCATGTTTGACAATTTTTTCAAAGTACAATGGCATATTTGATGTAAAAAATAGTAGAGGGACATGTTTGATAAAACGTCATAATAAAGGGGCATATTATACCTATAACCCATTTAAACCCTAACGAAAGTAACCCCTATCCACCACCGAATCCTGCGAGTTAATTAAACTGATAATGACTTGGTAGTTTGGTGAAAATTATCATTAATAGTTTGCTAATTCAACAAACGAAACAGAAAATAGTATACTAGACAACTTAAGTCCTAAACAGAGCTATGTTTTGATTTCTATGTCATTAGCTTCTTCTGCAACAGGGCATTAATCTTCCCCCTCCTGCCCTTTAGCCGTGTGACTCTTCCAAACGGGGTATCATTTTTTCAAGCTAAACACCTCTATCGTCCTCCTCTAAAATGCTGTCATATGTGAGCAACCATAGATGAAACACGCCGCGGAACCTTTGTGTTCCTCTGCGTGATCACTTCGTCGGTTCATGAACATAATCGCTGTATTACTCCTTGCAAGATGATGACGCTCTACAACTGGATGTCTTTGCTGACGATGATGATTCGTCGGATGACACCGATGGCACTTCCTCTTCCATTTCTTCATCCAGTTTGGGTGTTGAAAACAGGTTGAAGGGTGCCTGCGTAGCTGTAGTGGCAGTGGGTGGCATGGCTATTTCAGGATACCCCAACAATTTCTTCACCGCAGAAAGCTTGGTCGCTGAAAGGCACATGTCAAAAGATCAGGCACACATCTTTGGTTGCAATTTTCTCATGGCAATATATATGTTCGTCTATCTTAGCGTATTTCACAGGTACAGAAAGTTGCAACTTACCCAAACCACACAACACTGAGAAGGAGCTGTATGTTAACCAATAGCCACATATGGCCTGCAGATACACGAACAACATATTACACTTCCATCCTAATTGGAATAATCTTGTAAGGGTATTCAAAACTCTTCTTGCCAAGACTTTTGCATTCCTGCAACTAGTTTCAAAATATGAAAACAAGCAGGAATAGGAGAATTACAGAACACCAAGCAAAAAAGCTGACTGAGAATGCAGCAGATGATAAGATAAATAGATAATCATGTAGTGGAATGGAATGGACTATATTTGTAACTAGAAATTTGAACCACAAGGACAACACAAGGGAAGAAAGGAATTAGATTTCACAGCCTATAGAAGGAATTGAAAGTTACATTGTCACGGAAATTTACCGTGGGGCAGGACGCTGATATTGGACCAAGTCCCACAGCCAAGACTCTTGAGATTGTTTTACTGGTACCAGGAATGGGGTTTCCCTCCAAACCTTCTGACAGGTGCCTCCAAACCTTCAGTGAATTCATTTTGTAAACTCAAGAAGTTGGAAATATAATTGGAAAAACACTAGTAGATTCAAACTTGAAATGAGAACTAATTATCTTACCTCAACTGATGTCAAGTAACCCAATCCGATCAAAAACGGAAGTAGGTACATACTGTCCGGAGTAGTCAGATCGGTGAACCAGTATGCTCCGCCATTTTTAAAGGAAGGCACTTTTTCCGCCATGTTCTGAATCTGGAATGTTTGCACATTGTCAGTCGAAACAGAATGAAAAGCAGATTTACTGTTTCGCAAGCTCATTAATCTATACCAATGGAACTGTCAAAATATTGGAATCTACATACCGCAAGGAAAAAACAAACGGAAACAGGACCCTGAATGAAATACCATTTCCACGTAGTAAAAGGAGTAATACCATGTCTGCGAGAATAAAAAGAATTATAAATATGAATTTACAGTATAGAGGATATGGAAATATCATGCTAGAGGAAATCAAACATTATAAATCAAGAAACAGTTGATGCAGGCCCTATCAAGAGAAATTTTCCTTCAAAGCAAAACTAATCCAGCCTTAAATGCAAAATAATAAACTACTTCTAATAACAACTAGGAAATAGGAACTTAAAAGAGATCCAAAAAAGTAACCAACAATAATTACACTACTTGATGTGGGTTGCTAGTCATGAATAACCGAGTCTATCTCTTCCATAACACCGGAAAGAGGTGGGAGAAGGAAAAATTGAATGTTTACAAAAATGAACTGTCCATTTAGTTCCCTTCCAAAAATGTAGAGAAGTTGCTTACTCCTCGTAAAGCTTCTCTATTGTTTTCTGGCCTTCATGAATAGCCTCTGGCTCTGCACTCTGTCAGATTGATATAGCGTAAGGGACATATTAGTTGAAATAAAAATAATTTTAACGGTGTAAGAACAACTCTCGCATTTTAAAAATGAATGGTTTCAACATTTTCACAGCGAGACCATCAGTTGAAGTTGCAAAAGTGCCCATAAACTCTATATTTACCTAATTCAAACTGCCTAGCAAGAGCAGAGTTCCCCAATGTAAACCACAAACTTACAGTAGCAAAGACCACAAAAACAATAATGAACAAAAGGAAGCCTAGGGAAATAGTTCCTAAGCAAAATTCAACTGCGAAAAAACATTATTCAAGCAAAATCTTTAGCTAGTGTGTGAAGATCTAACAAAACAAAATGCAGAATACAACCTCATCTCGGATGACTTTCTCAATCTGCTCCAGCTGCGGTCTCAAAAGCTGAAACACAAACACAAGTAAGAAAATGCGGCACCAACATTCAATAAGCATAAGGATAAAAGTGTATCAACAAAGATGGTTGGACTTTAATTGAAAGCGAATGTGCACAACATTTTAAAAGGCATTGGACTTACAAAAAGCTTTATGTTAGATTTAAGATGAATTATCAGGAAGGGAAGAGTTGCTGTCTTTAGGATCAGAGTTGTTAAAACGATGGACAGAAACCTGCAAAAGGGTGATCGAAGAAGAAACATTTACGACATCCTAGAAGGCATTTTCAGAAGTAAAAGAAGGTGCTTCTGTGATTTAACCAAAACTTATCACTCATGTAACTGTTTCATGAATGCCCAACTGCACAATACATGTTATACCAGAGACTCCTATAATAACAGCGTTTTCCAGTTCAATCCATACTGATACTAGAAACCCTAAAGTCCTCATCCATGGTACATAAATAAGCTTGGATGAATCTAGGGATGTGAACTCGCTGTTTTTCATGCATACTTCATGGCATAACACTGCAAATTTTACACTAGGGTGCCACATTCTTGCAACGGACAAGGAGGAACCAGTTATTTACCAGTTACAACCAGTAAAAGTATGGACTGCATCAACGCAATGCTGAAGGACTTTAATAGGCAAGAACGAATCAGCAGCAGCAACCGCAACTTCACTAACACCAGCAGCTTGGCTAGCGACAGCTTCAATGGGTGTTTCTGTAAGAACCTCAGTAACATCGCTGATCAGTTCAATCTTGTCTGAACTTTCACCAATGGCCGTGGACATATACCGGGCAGAAGATGGTCCAATAATTGATGGAAGCAAAAACCCACTACGTCTTATGCCCTGATACAGACCCAGAGCAGTTGTATTGCCATAGCAGTTTCCAAAGAACCGATGCTGATGCACATTCCCCATTCCCTTTTGAGATGGGCGACCATCTGCCGAATTCTCTTCATGATCATGGTGATTAAGCATATAGCTAGAGGATGGGTCAACCCGTCTTCTAAGAAGGCTTGACCTACTGCAGAGGCTTCGAAGTTGAGCCATGGAAGCACAAAACTGAATTTCCTGCGAGAGACAGTCAGAAACCCGCAATCATAGACTGAACCATTGCGGAATCCTTGTACATTGAGTCGAAGCAATTGAATGACGATCTTGACTGAGAGAGCGGAGCAAAATCTCAAGTTCGCATTCTTGGCAGCAAGCTACCCAGTTGAGGGACACGAAAACTAATTTCAAGCAAGGGCAGGACGAAGCACGAAAAGGGAGAACACGTCTATCATTCCTAACCAAGCAATCCGTTCGAGATCAAGATTGTGACGAACAAATGAAGATAGTTTTAGGGTGCAACAGATGAATCGCCAACCACAGCCCGGCGAAATATCAAACAGCGAAACCCTAAGGATTCGGAAGAGAGGCTCTTACCTGCTTGGCTGCTTTGGAGCTCAGTAGGTTTGGGGAAGGTGAATTGAATTGGAGTCCAGGCCAACAAATTAGTCGTGGAAAGTTGAGAGTGGAGCTTCGCCGAGCTGCGTGGGAACTCATGACGATTAAAATGCAAAACTCGTCCTATCGGTGAGATATTTTTCTTTCTTGGAGAGGAAGTCAAGTCGGTTTAACCCGCCTGCCCGGTAAAGCAAGTGGGTTGAGGATAAGATTTGATTCTTTTGGTCTGGTGTAAGCTGAATATATTGAAAAAAAATTATTACTTTGTCTCAAGGTTGTAAACTCGCGGGTCGACCCACTTTGATCCTGACCCAGTGAGAAAAACGGTCTGCAAGCACCAACCGGGCCGACCGCTACAAGGGTACCGGGTTGGAGGTCAAATTGTATCATTTTTTTCTTTGGTTGTATTTTCCGATTTTTCTTTTCGCCTAGCTCAATTTTTGGAATGCTAAGTTGAACATTTGAATATTTATGTTATATAAGTGTGTGAATTTTCACTATATGTTGGATCTATATACGATATGTTATTTTGGTGTAATATTATATGTTATAACTCATATGTTAGATAAGATTTGATATAATTTATGAGGATAAGTACAATATAATGACTTTTTCCATATTTCTGGGCCAAACCGAGCTAAAACGGTTGACCCATTAACCCTTGACCCACTAGCTCGACCGGGTCCGGGTCAACCTACGGGTTGACAACCTTGCTTTGTCCATACATTAATAAATTATATCAAAATTTTATGTTGTGGGTCGACTCGTGAATGTGTGTCTTTCGTTTTTTCTCATCAAATTCGGGGTCAACTCATGGATCGACTCGTGAATTGACAACTTTATTTTGGATAGATTATTTGTATTTGTATTTTGGTGTTTCTATTCCTTTGTGAATATTGAAGATGCCTGTACTCAAGTTCATACAAAGTCCTTATTTGATTGTTATCAATAAGACAATCAAAAAGACAATAACACAACGACAGAGTATGAATGAAACAAATAAAATGGTTATTCAGATTTGGATATAACGAATAATATTGTTACTTTCAATCGTGTATGTTAAATTAATCGATTATATACGTATTTAAGTTGAGGTTTACCCTAACTTCGTACTCAATTTATTTATTAACGAGCTATAAATGAGTCAGCTCATGAATTGAGCTCAACACACAACCGAACTGAGCGAGTTCGTGAATCTCGCGAGCTTAACAAAGTTTAGCTCAGTCTCGACTCGTTCGTGAGTTTCGAACGAATATTTACCAATCCAAAACGTCGAGCCGTACTTGAATAGAAAACAAAGACTAATCAACATGACTTTATTATTTCACATACGAGCTACATAAAAGTATCACCCCGCGATAACCCAAAAAAAACACTTTTTTTCATTTCTCCCTGCAGGATATTAAATTTATTTCAATAACCATAACTTCTCCATCCATTATTCCTCACCAATTGCATCATCATCATCATCAAGCCCTGCAAATAAGAACAGCTCAAATCAAACCTTCATAAAAAAAAAAATAGAACAGCTCAAATCAAACATTTTCCTACAAAAAAACTTGATTTTGTTTTCCAACAAGAGCAGAAAATTATTATAAAAAAATGCATATAATACGCACTTGGAACAGTCGATGTCTAGAGAGAGCTTGGGAAGCTTGACGTTGACGTTGCACTTCTTCGGCAGCTTGGACGCGGCTGACAAATCGACCCCCGGGACCAAATTCACCATCGACTTCAGGCACTGGCAGATCGCCACACGATTCGACTTCGCCTTGGAGTACGGCTGCAGCGCCTTCACCCCGCTGCAGCAATCCTTCGCCGGGTCCCCGCGTCCGGTGAAGTACGGGATGCACGGCTGCAGCTCGTCGTACACCGTGGAGCACGCCGGCGGCGCCGGCTCGTTGGCGCCCATTACTCCGACGATGGTGGCTACGACCAAGATACCCACGGCTGCCGAGTAGCGAAGAGGACTCATGGTGTACGTGGTCTGGTGGTTAATTAATGCTTGCTGCTTTTCGAGATGATTTGATGATGGGGATTGGGTTCGGAGGAGTGGGGTTTATTATATGTGCAGGGGAGGTGTTCGATGAAATGTCTGAGTCATGTGGAATGTGTGCGTGGTTTTTCTTTTTTGACTCTCCGGCTGAAGATTCGGCTTTCCGGGTGGTTGCATTTGTCTCGGTACCTTTGTTCATGCGCTTGATGTGGTGGTGGCTGAGGTGCTGTGGAGAGTTTGGAGGGAGAGATAACATGGAGTTTCCACTCCAAGATTGTGTTGTGGTCATGTTAATTTATTGAGATGGATGGCATGGGAGCAACAGAGTGAATATGCAAATCGCATGATTGGTGATGAGAGAAAATCTAGTTGCATCAAAGTTACTATAAAAGAAAAAATGTTGGTAAATTATGTTATATATATGTGGGTAAATTACTGATGACTTAATGTCGGAAATCAAAGAATGTCGTTTGATGAACAGTAGTGTATGTTAAATGCCAGTATATGCATCAATGCATGCAACAACAAATTAAATAGGTCGGAATTGGTTCGATTTCAGTATTCTTTACTCTCGTGCTGTAAAATTTGATACTGTGTAATGGCATTGCGGACCATCAACAAATCGAGCATAACTAATACTGGACTTTCTGAATTACATTCTCTACAACATAGACAATTATTATTTCATATACGGTGATCCTTCGTACCAAGTTGATGCACCAATAGTCAGGCTCATGACACCATCTATATTGACTTTCAGTCCAAGTATTATGGAAGGAGCCCACAACCAACGACAACACAGTTATGAAACACCAGTCACACATTCAGATATATGTTACATCACTGAAGAAGAGCCGTCATTTTCAATATTTTTGCATCGTAACCAGACTTGTAAAATTCATTTAAACGGTTCAATTTAACTTGTGTAAGTTGCTTTTAAAAAAAAATATATGTTGTTTTATAGTTGCATTGACAAGATAATCTACATATGAATTAACAAGAGTGTAACAAATACAAAACTGTAATTCACCTAATGAAGAATAAAATTCATCTTGCTCTAAGTTCAAGAATCATCTAAAGTGTTGAAAAGCAAAAGATGTGGATTAGGAAGTCAAAGATGGATCATGGGCGAACACATAGAAAACTACATGGGACGAGTGTAAATAATATTTGGGCCCTGTAAGATGGACCACAGGCGAATTGGATTTGCAGATTTGGTGGTGCCTTGGCCCTTGGCGGTGGTTATGAATCGTAATTTTTGGACAAAACATGCGAACTACTTTTCTTCGGAGTGCGATTTCATCGTGGAAATTAAACATGTGAATATGGGTTTGATCTCTTCCCACGAGAATAAATTTAATTTTATAATGGTTAATGTTTTATTTTTTATCTACTTCATATCATAAGTTTTCATTTTAAATTACGGTGATTTTAGGTGTGATGAACAATATACATTTGTATTTTTAATCGGCAAGGCAATAGATTTTTTTTCTTATAACTCATGAACATTTCCACGTACACATTGCTTGAGCGATGACAGAGCGAAATCAAATTTGGGTATTCACCTGCTTGACTCCCTTAAGCCCTCCACTAAGATCACATTTTTTGTACCGCCGGGAACACCACAACTAGCCTAAGAAACCATCCATGCTAAATTTACTTCATGGATTTGAAAATGAAGATTTTGATTAAAACCTGGGGTTTACGAAACCATAGGTATATGATGAAATTGCCCCATTTGGTTTTTGGTACAAACCATTGTTTGCTTGTTGGATTCATGATCGATTTGGCATTGTTATGTTTGTGGTTGTATTAGGAATTTACCTTAGTGCCCTTATTGAATATTATGTACTTTTACATTATAATTTTTAGGGTAAATACAATTTAATATCCAAACCTTTCATTTTAAACAATATAATAGCCAAACCTTTTCGAAAACAATCTAATATCCAAATCGTCAACTTTCCGTTCGTTTGACCGTTAGTTGACACTTCAAAAAAGCTTTGTTTAGGGGAAATTGTTACAATACAACTTTGTTTTCTTGTTTTGGCATTGCAGATGACTGAATATTTAGATATTCTATACCATCATGGTGGAGTCATAGACTTCTCGGGTTTGGAACTATGATATGTTGGTGGTTTTTCAGAGAAGATATCGATGGATATTGCTGAAGTGTCGTACTTCGAACTTTTTTAAAGTGTCAACTAACAGTCAAACAGACAAAAAGTTGACGATTTGGATATTAGATTGTTTTCGAAAAGATTTGACTATTATATTGTTTAAAATAAAAGGTTTGGATATTAAATTGTATTTACCCTAATTTTTATTACAAAACAATTTTCATCTAATAGCTTCGTTCCACTAACACTATCGGAACAAATGAACATCATCGATCAATAACAACTTTATATTATATACACAATTAGACAATTCCTTAAGGTTTTCAATGTTGCAACATATGCTTTGAGATTAATCACGTAGTGCTTGTGTGCAATGAATAATAATAAATATTGAATGCAAAATTAATATGCACTACAAGTTGGTCACTAGTAAATGAAAGAGGATAAGTTGGTGATTAGTGAAATAAGTAGGGTTAAAATTGTAAAAAGTAATCATGGACTTTGTACCCCAACACAAATCCCACCTTTTGGGATGAAATTCTCAAGTTCGTGGGGTCCACGGATTTGGACACTAAAACATTGTGGGCCTCATGGATTTGTCTCTGTTAAATCTATTAAGCAAACGATGAATTGTGTACAAAGTTTATGATGGTTGGTTTTTATGTACCATGATGAAATTCATTAAGCTAACAAGACCTTAGTTATTTACACATCCTGGGAAAAAGAAGTGAAAAAAAACTACCAAAGAACAAAAATGACAAACTGGAGGGAAGGAGCTATGTGAAATTTCCATACTGGCGGGAAAATGTCCTTCCGCTCCCTATTTTCTGTATAAAAGCCCTAGTGTCCGTCACCCACTCTCCGTTTGACAATTTCCCTTCCCTTCCCCCCATCGAGATGATTCACTTTCACCATTTCTGAACCCTTGCCACAGTCTAACAAGAGGTGCTGAGAACCCTAGCATTCTTCGTTCGCTAATTCCACCAGGTAATTTTCTACAGTGCGATTGTACACTGAACTACTCATTACAGTATCGGAAATGCTAGGGTTTGTGGTCTTACAGTCTTCCGAGACTAAGCGCATCTTTCCTTTTCCCTTAAAATTGTCGAGGATTTCTCACTAGGCATATTCTCGAATTGCAGGTCTAGAGTGGGGGGTTTCTATATTTTTGGTCGTTGAGTGATCCCGTGTTGTCTGGTCGAGAAAATGGCTGATGCATTTGATGATGAGACTGAGCAGACGGTCACCATGGATGAGTATCTTAAAGAAGTCGAGGCTGAGGAGTTGGTAAATATCTTTTACTATGCCATGTTCAAATTACTGTTTCCTTTCTTTGTCGTTGGCTAGTTCTGGATTGAACTTGTTGGTGGAAAACGATGTTGAGCTAGTGGATAGCTCAGAGTGTGATGAGAACAAGGATAGATATGTAGTTTGTTGATTGGAATGGAGTCAATTGCTTCGAACATGAACCTATGAGCTATGTGGAATCACATGGAAATAGTTGCAGTTTGAGAAGTATGCCTCAAAGCTTGTTGTTTTACTCGTGGTCGTTGTCAGTTTACTGGGGTTTGTAGGTTTCTTTTCAGTTTTCCACTCATAGATTTGGTTGGATTTGTTCCTTCGTCCATGCTTGAGAGTGTGGGTTGAGAAGAAGTGAGTGAAGCAAGGGTCCCAAGAGAACAGCTATCCATCATTAAATTTGTGTTTCGGTTAATCTAATGTGTGATACACAGTACAAAATGATATGATAATGAGGGGGTTCTTTTGATTTCCGGGCCTGAATTTGCAGCGTGGATTGTTTACTATCGTTTGTCAAGATGAATAAGTAGGACCATCTTCAACCGAAATTGGAAGAACCCGTTGACTACTCTGTGCCTGTTTATTTAGTGTTGTGTAATTGTCAGTATATTGATCATTATCCATGAACGTTGGAGAAGCATTGCAGTGCATCTCTAATTTTCTTAGAAAGGGTAGTGCTTATTGCAAATAAGTGCACATGGCCATTAACCAGTTGCTGATTTGACACTATTTCCTTTTGCTTTTATCCAATTAACCTTTTCCCTCAAATGTTACTTTAACTTGTTTCGATCCAGCCTGATTGTTTTCTTGGATGATGACTTCAAAGGAAGCTGATTTGGTATTGGGTGGAGACGAAGGTAAAGACTGCACCTATAACATGGGTTATATGAAGAGGCAGGCTATCTTTTCATGTCTGACATGTACACCTGAAGGGGATGCTGGAGTTTGTACAGCCTGCAGCCTGTCTTGCCATGATGGCCATGAGGTACAATTTACATGCGTTCTGTGCAGTTTAATAGTTTTGAAAATGAACTTGCTCAAACTTTTAGGCTTTAACCTTCCTAGGGGATGTAACAACTTTAGTGATGTTTTTAAGTGACAGTTATGCTGTGCAAAAAATTACCATTTGCATTTATGATTGTGATGAATGAAGCTACTAACTTTCTTTAATCGGATTCTTGAATCAACCACTTGCACTTGTTGGAGTTATGAGTTCCCTTGGCATTGCTTTTGTGTTGTAGAAGGAGCAGCAGTTTTAGAACTATACTTTGGTATTGTATAGAACTATAGATTTTGATTTCATCTATTAAACTTCTCCTAATTACATTTGATGTAATCTCATTACTGTTTGTGCAAACAGATTGTTGAATTATGGACCAAAAGAAATTTCCGGTGCGATTGTGGAAATTCCAAGTTTGGGGAGTTCTTTTGCAAGCTTTGCCCTAGCAAAGATGTCGAAAATGCTGACAATTCATACAATCAAAATTTCAAAGGTTTATACTGCACATGTGGGCGTCCATATCCTGATCCAGATGCTAAAGAACAAGAGGAGATGATTCAGTGTATCTTGTGTGAGGATTGGTTTCATGAGGAGCATCTGGGTCTTGAGACTGTTAACGAGGTTTGTCACTTTCTCAGTCCTTGGCTACTTGGATGACATTGAAATCTTCCTTGTTTCAAGTCTCTCTTGGCAGTCCGTACTTCTATACTACTAGCCATCAATTAGCTGGTCAATTGATTGGTAATTTAGTTACAGGTAATTGATTGTGCTTATCAATAGACCTTCCGCCTCTTTACATTGTAGATTCCTAGAGACAGTGATGGGGAACCCCTGTATGAGGATTTCATTTGCAAAACATGCTCAGCAGTATGTTCTTTTCTGACACTGTATCCTCAAACAATCCGAGCTATAGATTGCCAGGCTGGTGTTTCCGCTTCTAAGACCAGTAAAGATAAAGGCATAATGGAAAGCAATCCTGCCTCTTGTGCAAGTGGCAAACTCGAGAACAATGTTTGTTCTGGTTCTTCTGGAAATAATGATGCACTCAGTAGTAGTTCAAATCACGTGGCGGTTGAGAAGGGATCTTCAAGCAATGGTACTCTTGAGAAGAACAATTGTTCAGATGCATGTGCAAAGGAAGACACTACTGTTCACGCTGCTTGCGTCTTGGGTGTTGGTTCCATGGTATCTCCACCCACAACTTCGGAGATCAAACCATTCTTTCTGGCCAAAAGCTGGAGGGAATCTTTGTGCAAATGTGGAAATTGCTTAGAAATGTATAAGCAGAAGCATATAAGCTATCTAATTGACCAGGAGGACTCAATTGCTGAGTATGAGAAAATTGCAAAGCAGAAGAGGGAAGAGAAGCTACAGAAACAAGAAGGTGCTGAGTTGGATTTTATCAATAATCTTGGTCATGTAGAGAAGATGGAGATACTTGGTGGCATTGCGGACTTCAAGGATGAGTTTCGTTCTTTCCTGGTAAGTCAGCAGAGCTGCTGTCTTTTCTGCATCTTCTTAGTTCTTATGATCGGTTAATTTATCTGTTTCTAACCTGACCTCAATAATGTACACCTACACAGGAGTCGTTTGATCCGTCGAAGACAATAACGTCATCTGATGTGCATCAGATCTTCGAGAATCTGGCAAAGAAGCGCAAGCGCACATAGTGTGATTTGCAAAGAAAATCTGAAGCAGCAGCCAGCTCTTGTTTAAGTTATGCAACATCGTTACGGGTTAGTTTGAGAACTGAACTACAACCTTCACATAGTGATAGGAGGATGACCCACATGGAAACAATATCATTGTGTTGAGTTATACCAGGACCTAACTCGCGGGGTTTGTAGGATCCTATCTTGTCATGTTTGAATCATGCATATGTGTTTTAACTTTGATTTCCCTCAACAGTTGTCTCTGTCTTGTTCCCTTAAATTATCAAACATGGGTGACTCAGGTTGGGCTTCCTCTTGAATTGGCAAGTCATCTTTGTGTGTAGTGACTAGTGAATTCTCATATGCCAAACTTGGATGGTTTGTTATCTTTCATCGAAGATCGGTTTGTTTCTCTAACGTTTTCTTGTATTGTCACCGTCACAAAAGTAGCAGATTTGCAGGGCAAAGGCCTGGTTGTACTGAAACGGAGCGATGTCACAGAAGCAACATACATAAAAGTACTCGCTTAATTTAAATTGATCGGGCTTGTTGTACGAATAATGCTCAGGAAACCACAACTATCCGTGCATTTTAGTGCATCACTTATGTAGTTGTGTAACAACTTCCTAGCAAAAAGCTTAAATTTCCTCCCAAAAAACAAGGCTTGCAGACCAAAATGTGAAGAATGGTGACTTGCCCAAACTCAAGAATCAAGATCCAGTAGTTGTCAACTGAAACCGTCGTTTGGGAAGTCATCAGTCAAACATCTCACAGTCTCACTCCCCCAACTGAAAAAGACATGGCAACCATTTAGCATTCAAAACAGTCCATTTCGTTTACCATGTCAAACCTCGACCATATAAAATTAGGTGTACAAAGCATCATCATGATGCCTCCACTTCTGAGGTGGTAATTTAACTTGACCCAAAAAATTCCAAGGTGTTGAAAGAGATTGTTTTAGGACTACGTACTATATGATGCTTAGCCTGCATATATATGCAAGATTTTGTGCCATATTTTTGGGAGGATGTCTTGTAATTTCACAACCACATGTGACATATCACGGAACTTTTCTTCATTCTCATTCAATAGGGTTGAAAATGGTACTAGGGGGATTTGAAGGTACAATTTTTTCCCCCCATACTTCATTAATTGCCATGGGAAATTTCGACACCATGGTATGGAAATTTTAAGAGCTCAAAACAAGCTTAGCTTGTGCTTATGGGTCATCCGACACGACACAAGGGAAGTGAATGAGCACATACATAATTTACATAGTTTGCTAACACGATGCATGTAGCTATTTCATGCACAGGGGGAGACTAATTAAACTATTTTGCGGACAATGGACATACTCCAAAGCTAAGTTTTAGCACATTAATCCGTCTGACCAAATAACTAATTAAGAGTGCTAAATAGAGTAATTGTAGAACTGTTCTCCTAATCCTAAACAATAAGACCGAAAAGAGAAGGCCGACGAACAAAATCCATAACAGATATTCAAGACACCCTAATAATGCTCACTAACACCAAATCTTTAAAAGTTTAGTCATCCTTTACTCAAGAAAATCAATATCTACGACACGAATTCAAAACTCTCTCAAATGAAGATCAGTAAATCATTAACAAAACACACGCAGGTAAGGAGGATATATTTTACACCGATGATAGAATTAACGCAGATCTTAAACAACGCATTCTTTCCTAAGAAGGAAGGAGTCGGGTAACTACTCGCTCTAATCGTTCACACCATTCATTTCATTTCATTTGCTTTGATTTTGGGTGTTCTTTTTGTTTTTTTATCATTTCATTTTGGGTGTTTGGTTGAGAACTGTATATAACATTTGTCCGCACATGGGATATTAATTATATGGTAATTATGCCTCTAGAGTTGGTAAAATTGTTTCACAGAAGTCCACTCAATCGTACACAAATTCTGAGGAAGATTTTGTCAAGTGATCCTTGTTTTGTTTACTCAAGATAATTAGTATCTTAATTACATCCAATCATTTCAACTGACGATAGCCTTTTTTAGGCAAATCTTCCGTCCAAGAGCAGTCGATCGGACGCTCCCGCTCAATTCAGGGATCGTTTAAAGACTTGCCAGTTTTCTTGTGCTTTACCAGTCAATTAGCCAACTGATAAACAGGAAGTGGAGAGAAGGAGAAGTAAGAACAGAAAAATCAACTTAGATATTGAATGAGTATTACTTTGTAATTTCTACACAAGGAGTCCATAATTAGCTAGATATTTGTCTTTGTGTGTATTATACATATGATATGACTCGGTGATTGTAAAGTACATTGAGTTAGTGTGATTTTATTCTCGGGGATGCATGATGACATTTTTTACGTGATCAGTTTTATCTCGCTCTCGTTGATATATAAGGGTTCACCTACTTGAGTCCTTTGAGTCATTCACTAAGATCTTTATTAGGGCTGCCGGGAATACCATGAAAGGATATCTAAGAGGGTCAAACTCATGATCTCACACGACCATAACCAGCGCTCAAAGAGAATTCACCAATCGGACTATGTGACCTTTGGCAAATGTGCATATATTTAAGAAGCAATTATATTGATTGTTCACGTACAAAATACACAAACGGTATTCAAACGACTTAATTTGTCTCACCATAAAAAAAAGACTTAATTTGGGTTTAATCTTCACCGTGGATTCCTCCTTAAAATCCTAAAATTATTTTCTGAACAAAACAAGAACCGCTTCGATTTATTAAAATTGACCCATGGATTATGGAACCGACTCTTCCAACGAGTATATGGCTGTCCCTGGAATTAAATTCCCAAGTTCCCATTTCTACAGGTATCCCTTCTCTTATATGTTCATACGGAGAAGTCACGATTTTATCTTAATATTCCTATAATTAATTTAAATTACTATGAGAGACTTCTTAATATTTTCAACTATTATATATCTCGCAACCGCCATGCAAATCATCGAACAAAAAGTCTACACAATGAACAATTATTTTTATTGAGTGATCATGCCTTGTAGTGGATTAATTGAGCTAGCGCTGACAACTTACTAACCATTTATCAAGTATTTTGATATTAAAATGTCATCATCATCTTATTCTAATTAATTAATCGGTTCATGAGATACAAATTACATGATAAAATTGAGATCCACCCCGACTCGAGTACTACAGGCATTCGTCTGCTCTCCACGACTCCAATGTTCTTTTGATTTTTCACGAGTTTTAAAATATTTATTAGGACATTCGAGTTGCTCAAGACCTTTGGTCTCTACTCAGATCCGCTGGAAAAAAAATTGGGATCACCTATTATGGGCTTGTTGAGAATGGTTATGATCTAGTTCATGGCCTATTAGAATTAAAAGGCGCTCTGGTGAGATCCTCACTGATAGAAAAAAGATTGAAATCAGTTTGATATACTGATGATCGAGTGACATTACTTCTTCGATCCTGTCGTATAGTGTTTTTTTTTTAAATAATCTAGGGGTCACTCTCCTAGTGCGCTATTATATATTATGGAGATGGTGAATGCCCTAGAAGGATATGGTACAACGGTGACCGCAGCCAATTGATACATGGAAAGTCAGGTCAGGTTGAGACCTTCTTGTTCTTTGTTCTTGGTCATGCCTTGATCTCAAGTCTGCAGATGATGCATTTCAGCAGATACATTTTGTAGCTCTGCCAATACGGTCGATATACAAACAGACGCCTTTTTTGAAGCAGAGAAGCCACACGACCAATGAAAACAGCAGCTACGTAGCTTGGCGGCGACAGCAGCATCACAATTCATTCACAACATTAATCATAATTAATTATCAATAATTCAACCCTCCAACTAAATTAATTAAGCCTCCAGCGGCTTCCTACCTAAAGGCCCCGCTGGTAGGGTTGAAACTTGAAAGCAAAGCAGGCAGCAATTATTTAATTCAAACCCAACTATATATCTATTCAGCAGGAGAAATTAACATAGCCTGTAAATTCAATTTTTTATATCAATTTTTTTTTAAATATAAGAATTTTGTGAGCTTTGGAACTATGATTTTATTTTATGAACTTGTGAGCTAGTTTTTGTTGTTGTTTCTGTTAAGTGGCGAGTAAGTTATTGATCATATAAACTGAAATGAGAAAATATTGTGAATTGTTAATTTATTTCCTTGTACAAACGACTAGTTTTATTTTCACCACATCTAAACAAGATCCTTAAACCAACACATTCTTGAATCTATGGTACTTACGATTATATTTTTTGTATCAATAATTCTCAGGGGGAATCACAGTACCGCCGCACCGTACCTGCTGCAGCACCACCACACGGTTTTTGGGCAGCCTGGATTAGGTCATTAGTTAAACAAAATGGCTAATATAATAAATAGAGCATAATTAGGATCCTTATTAGGAATGACAATTCCGACCTGACCCATTTTACTTGATTTGTTTGACCTGTTTTGGGGCGGGGGTACAACCCGCTCCGTAGGTGGGGTGGGGCGGGCGTTGGTACTTTCCATAGACTCGAACTGTCCTGGCTCGTCCCCTTCTTGACCCGTTCTTGCCTAAATTACATGAAATCTTAGTTAAATTATTTAATATTTTTCTTTTAGTATATCATATTTTAACTATAATAAATTATAAATTAGTGAAAGTCTCAATTTCTCCAATAATTTAGTTATATTTATCACAATATTGTTTGTTTTCCTGGACCTTCCTATCCTTAATCCACTACTTTACAATGCAACCACCATCTCCTTCTCATCATCTTTATCATTCGGGTGCAATTATTTTGTGGATAATTCTAGCAACACCGACACGGATGGGCTCTCTCCTTCCAACCTAGCTAAGCTCGGCCCAGTTGTCATTCCACCGTCGACATCCTGTTCCAAGTACATTATTGAATTCCCTAAAACTATTATACTGCATGCAAATTAAAAGCAAAAGAAAAAAAAAAAGTTATGGGTACTTGTTATTTTAAGGTAAAAGTAAACACCATTTGCTTGGAGCTAGCACTACCATTTTAAGTGATTTAAACTAATTAGTTTTTTTTCATACTAATAATGTTCTAATAGATTCATTTCGACAACGTATTGTAAAAAAATATAATCTTCACTACATCTAATGTACTTTCGCACTTTTCAAATTGTTGCATGATACCGGTTGAAAAACAGAAAACACTATTATACTAGTTGAACAATTCTACGTAATTAGTAAACTTCGTCATCATTATGGCCAAATCCCCCACGGTAAAGGTTGTCAGTTGTCACTCTGTTCCGTATTTTATAATCCCAGAAATGGAGAAAAAGAAAAGTATCCTCCTCCTCACTGTCCTCACAGACAGCCAAAAGAATCCAATCTACGTAGAAATTTCCAGCCAGCCAATCTGTCTCTATAAATACCCCCTCCTCCTTCCTTCTCTCTTCAGCACCTCGACCTTTTAATTTACTCCCAAAACAGAGTTTCCTCTCCTTCATCACATCTTCTCCTCTCCCCTTTCATTCACTTCTTTCTCCACATCAGAAAGCCACGCCACGCCCACGGCGCCATGGGAAACTGCTTAGCACCAAACAAGAAAAGATCCCAAGTACACGAATTCCAAGAAGAACACGACAGTAAGGTGAATTCCGACAAGACGATGAAAACAGGGGAAACAGGGGATGTTCCTACAACGAACAACGGCGGAACCGACGTCGGGACGAAAGTGAAGATAGTTTTGACGAAAGAGGAGCTCGACTGGCTCATGTACGAGCTCAAGGTGAAAAACAGCAGCGGCGGCGGCGGCGGCGGATCCACGAAGAAGCTTGAGGATGCTCTGGCGGAGATCGAGAGAAACAGAGCAATGAAATCGGCCAGCGTGAACAGCTGCTGGCAGCCTTCTCTGGAGAGCATTAGTGAGTGCCCTGAAGACGTTGGATCAGGGAGATATTATTAGGATCTGTGATTGATCAAAATCATAGTCTTTTGGCCCCTTTTTCTATGGGTTTTTTTTCTTCTTCTTCTTCTACATGTTCTCTTGGGGAACCTCTGTTTTCTTATCTTCGCCGGTGACCTGTTTTTTCCAATGTGGGTTTTGGTGGTAAACCCTTTTGAAATTTTTACGATGCATATGATGTATAAAGAAAGATCGGAGTATTTTTTTTATAGAAATTATATATATTTTTATAGTCTGAACGAGTAGAAATGACATGTTTTATAAGAGGTTAAAAGGCTTAACTATTTCTTTCCCAACAACTCGAGTTATTGGGCCCAAGTGGTTAGTTCGCTAACATGGTATCAGAGCCTAGAACCGAAAGGTCATGGTTTCGAATCCTCATGACGACCCCCAATTTAAGCAAACAATGGTTTAGTACAAGGAATGGTATGTCCAACCTAATGGGTTTGGCAACACAAGGGTTGATACGTTCAACCTGTGCAAACCGTATAAAAAAAAACCCTGACAAAGGTAGGCTTTCGTTTGAGAGGGCGTATAAGAGGTTAAAAGGCTTAACTATCCCTTTCCCAACAACTCGAGTTATTAGGGCCAAGTGGTTAGTTCACTGTCACCCATTTTTGCGACAAATGCAAAATGGTTCGTATGGTCTGCATAATAGTGATTTGCTTATACAAATTTCGAATTTATGAAATCGCGTAAATTCATTCTTAAATATGAATTTGAATGAACTGATTCGGCATTACAAAACTTCATTGGTTCTCAGATGCCACATAAGTGGTCATATTATTAGGAGAAAAAAGAGAGCCATGGGTAACCAGGAAAATGAAATTGTGAAAGGAATCAAAGCCAAATCAGGTTGGAAAAGGATCAATTATTTGTGGGGGTCTCTGCAAATTGCAAAGGAGAAAACAGAGCCAAGTATTTATTAAGAAAATTGCAAAGTAAAGCCACCGAATTTGTTGTTCTCTAGAGAGGACCAGTGTCTTATAGCAAGGATTCCTCTTAGTTTTCCTCTTGGATATGATTCGAGAGTTTGGAAACACTCTGAAAATGGAGCCTACTCGGTCAAATCGGGTTACTACTTTATTAGAGAACAACAATCTCATTATCAAATGCGGAAACTGTCTCAAAACACAGAGGATGCAGAGGCTTGGAGGGCTCTATGGATGCTTCATATCCAACCTAAGGTCCGTGTTTTCTTATGGAAGATATACAAGAACATCTTACCAGTTGGAGCTCATGTGGAAGAATGGATCGAGGAAGCCGACCCTAATTGCCCTTTCTGTAATCTCCCTGAGACACAACCCCATGCTCTGATTGACTGTGACTGGATTCGTAGAAGATGGAGGGAATGTGATGAATCCGACCTGTTCGAGAAAGGTGAAGGGAAGTCAGGTTTTGAGTGGATCAAGGAAATCCTCAAACACTACCCAGAAGAAAGAATTCAGAAATTCTGCTCGATCTTGTGGTACCTCTGGAAGGAGAGATGCAATCATAAGTTTAATAACCGAAAGCTGGAGGAGGATGAAATTATCCCGAAAGCGCTGGCCTGGACTTCTTCTTATCAGGCTGCTAATACCTCTACTGATTCATGCTCTTTAGATAGCACTCCTCGGCATCGATCCCAGGCTTCGCATCTCTGGATCCCTCCTCCGGACGGCTCCTATAAATTAAACGCTGATGCAGGAATTATCCAGAACCAAGGTGTGGGTATGGGCTGTATTATCCGCGATTGCAAGGGTGAATTCGTGGGGGCTTTGGCGAAGAAGGAAAGGGGGATTTTTCGCCCAATCGAAGGAGAGGCGAAAGCCCTGATTCTGGGCTTAAAGGAGGCCAATCGTAGGGAAATCGGTCCCCTGATTGTTGAATCGGACTGCCAGGTGCTTGTGAATATGATGAAGAATGGAATCGAAGATTTCACTGAGCTTGGAGTTTGGTGTGACGAACTGAGAAAGTTGGCTAGGGCAAATGAATCTCTGGTGGGGGTTGAGGTTCGATGGTGTTTTGCTTCGAGGAAGAATAACACTATTGCCCACTGGTTGGCTCATTCTGGTTTGGGTTGGAACCAACAGATTGTCTGGGTTGATAACCCCCCTTTGTTGCTCTGTTCTTTGTTAGAGGCTGATTTGGGCCATGGCTATTTGGGCCGAAACTAATATCCTTAATAAAAGTTTCCAGGTTTCCTATCAAAAAAAAAAAATTTGTTGTTGATGGTTAGTAAGATGGTATCCATGTGTTTTCTTTTGCTGCGAAAAAATGTTTTCGAGAGAGTCTCCAGCCGTCAATTCTTATGGTTGTTTTTTTCTAGTTTAATAAATGTTTCTGTCTCCTGAAATTCAAGCGAACTTGGAATTCACTTGGTAAGCAAAAGAAGAAGAAAAATGTTTCCTCTCTGAAAAGGTGATCAAGAAGATACATATGTGGTTGGTATAATTTGTCTCAAGTTTAATTTTGCAGTTTACTATTTTGCGATGGTAGATAGTACCATATCTTATCAACACAAATTGCATAATAATATCGTTCTTCGCCATTTAAATTGCTATGATACAACTTATTTTGTATTCATCACTGCTCAGTGCTGCTTATCCAGCCCTTGCACCCATCAATATCATGCAATACATCATTCACCAACCTAACCGTCTCCTTTTAGACCTCATTTGTCAAACTCGCAATCAATGAGTAATAACTGAGTTCAGAAGATGGCCAATGTGGTGGATACGTGCATTCATTTCGGGACTCGGTTTTCAGCTGGCTTTAATTCATGCAAGTGGACTATACTATCTATCTATCGATATGAACATTTATGTAACATGCATTCACCTTCGTTTACAGCTTGTTTGGATATAATTCTGTTGGAAAATGAATTCCATTTCTTATGAGAATCTGAATTCAAGTAGGAATTCATTTTAAAATTTTATGTTTGGAACAAATCCAAAAGTTTGGGAAATGATTTCATCTTTTTATGTTTGGAAAAAATGGAAATGATTTCTTACAAGTGCTTTTACAATAATATCCTTAGTATTAAACTTTCAAATCCAAAAGTAGTAAGGGCTTTCTTGTAAAGGTGAGTCAAAATTAATGTGGGGTCCACTAATTCCATCACTCCCTCCACCAATTCCGACCACTTTTGGTAGGATTTGGAATTTCCAACTTTTTACCTTTTGGAATTCCATTTCCTTTTTACTTTTTACTTCCAAACATGAGAATCATGGAAAGTTTGGGAATTGGAATTCCATTTCCTCAAAATTTAGCCTTTCCAAACAGGCAGGTGTCTCTTCCTGTATAAGGAAGTCGTTAAATTAAATACTATATATAGATCCCTTTCAACAAATCTAGTTGTTAAAGTCAAGTGATTTATGACATTGGACGAATGCCTTCCTTCAAATCGATAATAACTACGATGATTTCACATGCATAGTCAAAACACCTGTTACATACATGCAGCTGTATCGGGCCACCCACATCAATCTCTAATTGTAGAAGTCGGACGTCTTTTGGCATCAGACGAGTAGGTTTGAACGAAACAAATTTTTTGCGAGGTCAATTTTGTGGTCGATTATTTAATCTCCCTGGATAACATATTTCCGATTCACCTCGAGTGTTGATTATACGCGCATCTAATGGGTTTCTAAGAAAAAGGAATGGGTTGACAAGGCTACTTGATGGATGCATTAATTTGGTGTCTCCATTATTGCAACAAAGAAAGAAAGTAGTTCACCAATTTCTCTGAAGTTTTCCATAAATGATTAATGAGCCGGTCTATCATTGCGGAATTGAAAATGCTTAGGGCCTCATTCGGGCTCATTTTGGCCTGGTTCTTTTTCCCTCTTGGGCTTTTCATGAATGGGCCCGGGAAGCTCGAGCAGGGGGAAGGCCGAAGCGAAGTGGCAGGCAGTGAATAGATACGTCGCCGTCGGGTGCGCGGTGCGACCGGGAATTCTTTATTATTTTCCTCTTCTTTTGGTACGAAACACGACCGGGAATTGTCTTGCAACTTCCATTTGTTCCGGCGGAAAGAAAAGGAAAGGGTCAGCGGAGAAAGAACGAAAGAAAGCAGAAAGAAGAAAAAACAATGGCAGGAGTAGCACAGGCGTTGAAGCGAATCCCTAGTATCAAGTTTCCCCAGCGGCGCCCCAATCCTTCCACAGGTAAGAACAAATCTCCGATTCCTTCAGCGGAGGATTTTTTTTAACGTTCTGATGAGTTCTCGGCAATGCCTTTCGGATCTTTTTTTTTTGGCAAGGCTCAAACTGACGCTCGAATTTCGGTTTTGCGGATACGAGTTCGGCGATGGTTGAGAACCTTAGTTGAGATGTCTTGAATATGTAGTCATTAGAATCTGAATGGATAATGGAGTTGCAATGTGGTAGGCTTAGCTAGGTTGTTGGCTTGCGGAATACGCTGGTTGGTGTTTTTTTGGATTGATTGTTGCGTAATGTCGTGATTGGCTTGCGGAATAGGCTGGATCATGCTAACAACCTTCTGGCTTTTGGTTTGAGGTATTTCTTGGTGTGAAGGATAGGTCTGGATCTGCGCTCTATTATGGTAAGATATTGGGATGTCTTGTTAAACGAGTAATTCAAGAACCTGTGTTAATTGATGAAGAAGAACCTTTGATGGTTCAAGGACGGATGATGTTTGATACTCGATATGCAGGCGTGGATATTAGAAGTAGGCAATATATTAGGAGGTGCTATGATTTCATTGTAAGGCTTTGAACTATCAATTGTTTTTGGTATATTAGCAAGAGAAAGTAAAATGTGAGTGCGAGTTTTGCAAACCATGATTTATCTTTCCTTTTGAGGCAAATGCTTTATGTCAAGTTATGTAAAAGGGTAGAAGCTGGAATTGGTGTTTCACTGCAAACCACCTTTGTCAATTTAACTGAAAAAATTGCGTCCACAGGTTCTGCTTTCAAGACAGGAGAAGCTTCTTCTGCGGGAAATGTTGTTTCAAACTTCTTCTCCAGTGCGAAGGCTTCAAACTCTCTTGGAGGTCAAGCTTCTCTTCAGCCCAAACGAACGCCAGTTTCTAAGGATGAGATAGAGACAATCTTGGTAGGTTCCGAACTTGTATACTCGTCATTTGCCTGTGATTGCTTATATGTTCATTATTATGTCATGCTGCAATGTTGTCATGCATATATCCTCACCCACCTTATGGGCAATGCCGGATGGCAATATCTTCATACTGGTTAAATGGCCCAGGCTATAGTGGTTTCAAAATGGAGCTGTCAGATAATTGCTTGGCTAAAAAGATCGGGGTTTTTACTTATGGTACAAAGCAATTTCCACACTAAGCACTTGTTCTATGATAATGGGACTTCATTATTGCTCTAGAGTTCGTTTCTAAGCCAGTGATAGCTCTAAATTGATTTTGCTGCCAGAAACTAGGAGTGTTGAGTTTCGGGTCGTTACATGAGGGAAAAAATGACCACAAACGGTTTACTTTAGCTTGAGCATCTGTTGAACAGATTTGCTGAGTACACTAATGATCTCTATTTTCACGTTTACTTGGCAGTTGGGCGGCTGCATCTGATCATCTGGTTGAAGTTCAAAACGCGATGGTGCGTCTTTTCTAATTGAATATCTTTGGAACATCTAAAGTTCATATACCGATTTTCTGTCAAAGCCGAGAGCACAATTTCCAAACTGGATCTTTTTTCATACTACAACAGAGAGGGGAGGAACTAAAAGTTTGCTTGCTTGTATTAATTTTTCCATCTGTGCCTGATACTGCAAGATCTTAACAAAAATCAAACTTATTATTACTGCCTAGCCTGCACAAATCATGAAAAGCATACATATGAACATACTGCATACATAGATTAGACACAACAAAAAGACTAAGCAGATCATGAATCTTTCTGAGCCGTAGTTTCTAGGACAACCGATCGAGGATTTTTCCCCGGGGGACCCTTCTCCCTGCGCTCGAGTTCTTCGAGCCTGAAAGTGATCAACCGATCCCAGACCCCTCCTTCTAGAAGAACCCCAGCCTTCCCATCTGTAATCCTCTGTACAATGCCACAGTACATGTAGTATGGACTGTTAGTATTCTTCACAAGAGCAATCATACCAGGCATTAGCAGTGGCAACTCGGGCGCTTTAGGCTTCTTTCCAGCTGTAGTAATCCCTGCTAGAGCTCTTGAATCAGTCTTTTTAGGCGGAGGGTTTTCCTCGATGAATTTCTGCAGCCCCTTCTCTCCACCAGGAAATCCACCAGTTAGTCCCATCATTTCCTTGTCAAACCCATCTTCTGGGACGCCTTCCGGTAGCTGGCTCCCGGAACTAACTTCATCATCTCGATCTGAGATGATCGGCTCGACGCTCCTCTTGAGTTCTTTCTCCAGGCCTTCCTCCCCATTGCAAAGCCCCCTCCCTCCCAGGAGCTGGGAGAGGTCGAATTTGGCGCGTGTTACCTGCTTGAGCCTCGAATCCTTGGGAATCGAGGAGTAGGATGGCTTGTGAGGCTTGGTGTGGAGGTTCTTTTGCCCTAGGAAGTTGGATCTTAGGAGTGCACCTTGGTGAATGGGTTGGAGGGTGATGGAAGAAGAGGCCGCCATGGGTTTTCAGAAGTATACCAGGTTTGGGGAAATGAATGAAAGGAAGTGGCTTCAAATCCTGGCCACAAATTTTGGGACTCGTGGGAGGGATAGTACTACTCTATATTCCTGTTCTTTTGCCATCTCGTCTCTCTATCATTTTCCTTCTTCTCTGTAGGCACAATTTGACGTTTCTGTTTGTCGCATGTGGGTTGATCCTTCTGGTAACAGTTTAGTGGCTTCTCGTATTCGTTCATGAATCATGATGTTATCCTCTTTATCCCTATATATATCTTACGTACAGGGGCCCATTTGATGCTCTCCATTCCACTGAAAGATGTCCATCAAATGTTTAGAAATTGCAATTTTATGTATCAAATTGGAGGCTTTAATGAACTTTACAAGGGTGAGAGTGAACTTTGAATCGTGGATTAATTACAGGTTTGGCAATGTGGCTGATTGATACATCTGTACTGCTGATTGATCTAATGTGGTCAGATTGGCGAATTGTGATAAATATCGTTCAAGTTTGTACGATAATACATACTGCTATGATGTCAGTTAAATAGATTCTCGCATGTACTTCAGTCCATTGAGCAATCCTATGGTTGTGCTACAATCGCGGCGAATAAATATGTACTTCTAAAAGATTCTTTATATTGTGTACGATTGATTACGTCTTATTGGTGTTTAGTGTTTACCATGTAACAAGTACACGTATGGGAAATTGGGAATATATGGTGTCTGCACTCTGCATGTGACTGGGCCCGAAGGCCATTATTCTCTTGGGCCCAACGAACACACTTATTTATTTTAATCGGATTCTATTCTACCATATGCAGTCTCATTGTTTAATTACGGTTTACGAACTCAACTTTTCATTTTCCCGAACTTTGACAGCCTGTTTGGAAAGGCTAAATTTTGAGGAAATGGAATTCCAATTCCCAAACTTTCCATGATTCTCATGTTTGGAAGTAAAAAGTAAAAAGGAAATGGAATTCCAAAAGGCAAAAAGTTGGAAATTCTAATTCCTACCAAAAGTGGTTGGAATTGGTGGAGGGAGTGATGGAATTAGTGGACCCCACATTAATTTTGACTCACCTTTACAAAAAAGCCCTTACTACTTTTGGATTTGAAATCACTAATACCAAGGATATTATTGTAAAAGCACTTGTAAGAAATCATTTCCATTTTTTCCAAACATAAAAACATGAAATCATTTCCCAAACTTTTGGATTTGTTCCAAACATAAAATTTTAAAATGAATTCTCACTTGAATTCAGATTCTCACAAGAAATGGAATTCATTTTCCAGCAGAATTATATCCAAACAAGCTGTGAGAAAACCAAAATACGGAACCCACTGTCCTGCGAGCCAAAAGTATTGGAAAACAAAACCTCCATAGCCGCACCACGGGAAAGTTCCCCTTGCTCCTCTGTTTCATGTTACCAACGCCAACGCCAACGCATAAAGGTTTTCTTTCTGCGGTAGCATATTCGGTAAGTAAAGTAACTCACCCAGTTCGTCTTCCTTCCTGCTTCTTTCTCCAATTATTCCCTTATGAATTGATCCGTTTCCCATAGCTTGCTTGTCTGCTGAATGTTATTCAAGTTGCAAAATTTCTGGATAAAGTTTTTTATTAGATTCGTGGACTTGAGAGATGTTGTACGGACGTTTAATGGGTCTTGGGTTGTAACTTGTAAGCTCGGAGATTATGCAGCAGCTTAATCCATTTGTGTGACCTGGATTTCGGGATTTTGGGATTCGCCGGAGTTCTCTCTCTGTGAGGATTGGGGACTGTAGGGTGGTGTAGCTGTGATGGGTAAGCTGCTGTTGGGAATTTGCTTGCTGGTTGCTGGAGAGCTGGTGTTTCTTCGAAACGTTTTCTGATTTTGTTGGAGTTCAGTTCTGTTGATTGAAGTGACCTTTTGGTTGGGGATTGAGCTTTTGGGTACATTTCTATTCCGCCTTTGGAATTTGCCCTAAGAAGATTGAATCTGTAGACATAATGGATTTCTTAAACTTGATCCCTTTGTCTTCTACTTGTATGCATACAATCATAGCAATAGGAGGAGTAAGGAATAGAATCTTCTTCTGAATATGCTAAAGCTTGGAAATATTGGGTTTGACTTTATATCAGACAGCACATTGAGCAGCTATAGAATTCTTTTTGTCTGGGAGGGATTGCAATTTTGACCCTGAGTGCTTGACCTACCAATAGTGCATCTCCATAGTACTGATGATCCTTCTGTTTCGTGTTTCTTCTAATGTGTAGCTTCATGGATGATCGTCGTGGAAAGCTGAATATCATACCGGATCACTTTCAAGTCTCAACTTCCGGTGAGGACACTCCACAAGCAGAAACTAATCCTGTTTTCCAGCCAAGAGTGGATAATTTGGCTAGGTACTATACTTCATGCCTAGTTAAATGCGCGGTAGAGAAAGACCAACTTTGTTCTCATGAGCAAATAGTTGATTTTGGCTTCAGCTTCTTCTTTTTGTTTAGGATAGGCCTCAAAGTCTTTCCTGGTCGCCGAGAAAATTGAAGACTGCTGCATCTATGTTGAGAATGTTCAGTCTACGTGGCCTACCTTGGACCCCTGATGGCCAGCAAAAGGTTCAGGTAACTGTTGCAGAGTTGGAATCACTTCGCTCGGAGCTCGTCGAGGTAGAAGAAAGGGAAGCTTACTTAAAAGCTCAGTAAGAAACTTAAATCCCTTAGCTTTATAGTTTGTGATTTCGCTTTTTGTTTCAACAGAATGCATTCCTAGTATTTTATGGATAATATTGTTTTTTTTTTTAACAGGTTGGAACATGTTGATGAAATTTTGCGCACAGCTCGCCTGTCAGGCTATTTATACATTAGATCTGTATGAACTGCTCCTGTTCTTTGTTTCTTGTTTAAATGCTGCAATTCTCTATGCTTGCTGTCATTTATAAGCCTATAAAATTCCTCCATGCATCTTTTCTTGTTTATCAATACAGAGATGGGCAGCTTTACCTGGTGAGCCTGCTGTAATTGATGATATTGATATTGACGATTGGCTTCCTCGATTTGTTGTCCTTCACGGACAGTGTTTATTCTTCTATTTGTTGAGCACAGGTAAATAAGTTATACTGGCTAGTTATTATTGCAGTAGTATATGTAATATTTTCTCCGATTTGTGATAATCATATTCTTACTTGTAAAAACTAGGAAGTTTTTCTTTTTGCAGATTTGAGTCCTCAAGATTCAACTCTACTCGCCGATGTTGTTGAAGTGGGTTCTCTACCGGAAGTTAGACGTGAAGATGATGAGATAAGATATTCCTTCTATGTTTTGACTCGTCAGGGCCTTCGGTTCGAGTGCTCCAGTGCTTCTAAATTACAGGTGTGTTACTACTGACTCTTGCTCATTCGCTGCCATCCCTAGAGTTGAGGCTGATTATTTTCACAATACATGAAACGTTGGTCGCAATTGTGCTGTACTTGATCCATTCCAAATGTGCTCATTTTCCTCAGGCGGAGACATGGTTAGAGGCACTAAAAACTGACTGCAAATATGGCTGTGGTGGTGCAGAATCTTTAGTTGGCACTAAAAACTGACTGCAAATATGGCTGTGGTGGTGCAGAATCTGTAAACGACTCTTCTGAGACGAATAATCACTCCGAGACTGACTGAACACTGAACTGTACTTAGGCTTATTCAATTGTACATCTTTCCTTCAGCTGATATTTGATTGGAGCTTGTGATTCCTCGTACTGCTTCGTTTTGTTCATGTACATAGATTGACACACTCATTTAACCCGGAATTCATTATATACTACTTCCCAGTTCTTGCTAGTTCAGCGAGGACTACAAGTTTTCAGTAATTCATTGTGCACCTTTCTTAGACCTATGGAGATGGGATTTCACTGCTTTATAACCAAGACGCTGAATTCAGAAGAACTATGCTTTATCGCAAAAAAATTGAGCAGATGTTCTGCTGTTTCATGTTTGATTGATAGAAAACAAGACAAAATGCTCCAAAATATCCTATGAATATAAACTATACAGTCAAGCGTCAAACAACAGCTTGGTCAAGTTTCTGCACACAAAGAGTAAACAACAGTTGGGTATTCCCCTGTCTCCGAAAACGCAAATTAGAAAGCCAAAGAGGACACAGAACTACATGAACAAACCAAAGTTCATCATCAGACCCTGAACTACTACTACCACTCAAAAGGACATCCAACTCAGAGACACATAAGACCATGGACAATAGTAACATTGAACAAGAGAACAAGATCCATCTTCAGCAGTTCGAATGTGCATTCATCCCCAAGCTCCAAAGAATTCTCCTTGGCAAACTTATTCCAACCAGCGCCGAACTTTGTGTACCTCCATTTTCCTCCTTGCCTGTTTAGCTTCACTTCCCACTTCTTGTTTGTCCCCAAGCTTGAGTATCACACAATCAATCCTCTCGCTAATGAACAAACAACAACAGGAGGATCAAAACATGTCAAACACCAATTTCCTAATCAGTAACGACTTTGGCACTTGAAACCTGAAGAAACGCCTACCGCTTGGTAGAGCCTGAGGTGAGTTGGAGACATGGAAGCAGCAAAAGTTGGATGCCTAGATGCTGATAGCTGCTTCATCACGGTCTTCTCTGTTCCCTTCTTCATTGTACCACTTCTCACAGGAAAAGCATAATAAATGTTTCTACTTTCTTGTTTCTTGCCATGGGCACAACAATAAGGAAACTGGAAGATGTTGCTGATGAAGGAAGACCATAGGTGGTATGGGACATTTGGATTCCATATGCAGATGGATTTCTCTACATTTTTCACCAGTAAACCATCCAAGGACTGCAACTTGCAATTGGTCCCTGAAATTAACTTCTTTGCAAGGTAAGATTTAACTGGAACCTGCTAATGCAATCAGCAACATCTTCATAAAAAATTAGGCTATTGATTTTTATTGATAACCAAAGCACGAAAACTACTGCAACTGTTCCATTGACAGCATAGACACAGCCACAAGCACAGCACAAGATCTAAGAAGCTAAAAGGTTAAGCGTGATTCAACTGTGTTAAACGAACATCGCAACAAAAGGCGTATCTGACAAAATTCACAAGGCGGATGATGAACCATTCTTCTTCTTTGTCGTCCCGTAGTAACTAACGTACCATCTTACAAACTTCTTAAGCCCCGACTCCAGCCCTGTAGTCGGCTTGTACCCGAGCTCCCTCTGAGCCAAACTGATATTCGCATGTGTGAACTCCACGTCTCCATTCCTTGGCATCGGCTGAGCTTTCTTCTTCGCCTTAACTTTAAGAAGCTTCTCCAATATGCTCACCATCTTGGTCATTGGAACAGGGGAAGTATTCCCCAAGTTGTAGATCCTCAATTGAGCTGGACCCTTCTTCTTCCCTCCACTCCCAGTGCTTTTCTTCGCAGTATCCAGCGCGCCCAAGCAGCCTTTAACAATGTCGTCAATGTAGGTGAAATCTCTGGCCACACTTCTCCCATCGGCAGTTTCAAACACACTGATCTCTTTCCCTTTCAGGATGTCCTTAGTGAAGAAGAAGTAAGCCATGTCTGGCCTTCCCCACGGACCATAAACAGTGAAGAATCGCAGCCCAGTAATGGAAAGACCATGGATGTGGTTATAGGTATGAGCAATTTCCTCGCCGGCTTTCTTTGTAGCGGCGTAGAGGCTCGCCGGCCGATCAGTCCTGTCCTTCTCAGAGAAGGGGACTTTGGAATTCAAGCCGTAGACCGAGCTGGAAGAAGCCCAGACGATCGCCGGCTGAGGGTTTGCCGATTTGCAGACCTCGAGCAAATTCACAAACCCTGCGATGTTGCTGTGGACATAAGATTTAGGGTTTTGCATCGCGTACCGTACGCCGGCCTGGGCGGCCAGATGCATGACGTGGGTGAAATGGACGACGTCGAAGAGCCTGCGGAGCAAATCGGCATCGTTGATGTCGCCTTCCACGACGAAGATTCCGGCCCGGTCGAGGACATTGCGACGGGCGTGCTTGAGATTGACGTCGTAGTAGTGGTTGAAGTTGTCGAGTCCGAGGACGCCATCGCCGCGGCGCTTGAGGGCGATCGAGACGTGGGTGCCGACGAATCCGGCAGCGCCGGTGACCAGGACGGTGAAGAAGCCGGCGGATTCGGGGCGGGTGGATTTGAGGACCTTCTTCTCCCACTGGCGGCCGCCGGGGAGATCGGCGCTGAGCTGGCGGCGTGGGGAGGAGGAGGAAGGAGGGGAGAGGAGGAAGAAGAAGAAGAAGAGGACGAGGAACAGGAAAGAGTAGAAGGTGAGCTTCGAGATGTTGGATTGTAGCCGGAGGGAGCGGTGGTGGTGGTGGTGGAGGTACGGCGGAGCTTTGTCCGGTTTGAACTTTCCCGGCGTCGAGGGTGGACTGTTGTCGAGAAGGGATGAAGCCATCGTCGGAAAAGTGGGGGAGAATCGGTGAAGCCCGGTTAGGATGTTGCGGTGGCAATGGCGGTTGTTGGAGCCAGCCGCCGGTGGAGAAAAAGGATCACTGCGGTAGGAATTCTGTTTCTGTGGGCAGAAAATCTGTTGCACCAACTTTTTAAGACAGGGAAGTAGAAAGAGGGGTTTTGAACTAATTTGGATTAAGTTGAATGGTTTTGGGTTAGGACGACTACTAGAATTCTAGTAGTCATTTTTGAAAACAAAAAAAAAAAAGGCATTTTATATATTCTACTCAAATCCCTAATTTTTCTTTCATCTAGCAAAATCCTACTTCTATCCTCCCTTCTCTCCATCGGAAATTATCGCAGCAGCAAGCTTCGCTGACCGGTGATTAGGGATGGCAATGAGTAGGATCGGGTGCGGGTCTACCCTATACCAATTACCAACTCCTAACCCGCCGGGTAGAGCCTTCTAAAATACCCGATCAAATAACCACCAGGTATGAAAATTATATAACCATACCCTACCCACCGGGTGTTAGAAACCGATTTATGTAGGGTTTCTTTATTTATTAATATAATTATTATTATGATAATTATCAATAAGGTTAGTAGTTATTTAGTAGGGTTAGGTTTATTATTAGGGTTTCCTAGTGTTCCCTATAAATATGTACTTTGAGTCTACGTTACGGGCAATCAAGAAAGAATTATCAAAGAATCTCCTAAACCCTAATCTCCCTATCTTCCCAATTCTCGATCTCAATCCCTCTAAAGGCCTAGGCCGATTTCCTTCTGTTCTTCCCCAATTCTTTCCCAAATCCCTAATTCTGTCTTCTCAATCCCTAAATTCCCAAATATCACCCAATCCAAATCCCGTTAGAAACTTTGTTTCTAACATCTGGTATCAGAGCCATGGTCGAAAATCTGAGTTCGACACGAGTCTCTCCAGGGGACGAACAAGTATATGAAGACTTCAAACCTGAGACCATAAGGATGGAGCTACGACGTAGCGTTGTCTTGTTCCTCACCTTGCCTGGGTTCGAGGAGGAGCACGTAAACGTGCAGGTGGTTGGATCTGATGTGCTAGCAATAACAGGACAACGACCGTTGACTGATGGTAGCAGATGGATCCGATTCAAAAAGCAAATCAAATTCAGAGCAATCCACGACATCGAGCACTATCGCACTAAGTTTGGGACAACTGATTTCATCCTTCAAGTTCCAAAAATCACAACACCTCCCGTCCACAACCGTGACGAAGAGGCGGCAACCGAGTCACCAACCCCAAACGTCGCTGCAACGACCCAACCCCCACCACCACCTGCGGCTGAATTCACCACGATGCTGCAACCACTTCTGTCAAGCGCCGTTGTGAAACCACCAATCAAGATGTTTGACTCGCCTATGATAAACGAGGAAGATAATCCAAAAGAAGACGTTGCTATCCGCCTCTCCGTCCCCGAACTTGTTTGGAAGACAACAACTGTTGAACAGAAGTCGCCAAGCACGGGCTCTCTTCCACAGACAATCATCGAAGTCAGCGACCAACAACGTACGAAGAAAGAGGGAATAGGCGGTCAAGTGGATTCGTCGGAGTCCCGAATCGAGCACCGGATGATCCAAACGCCTGACATTCCACTACGAGGACGACCACCAGACGACCGACCAGCGCCGACAGTGAATTCAAACTGGGAAACAGCGACGACAGCCGCCGAGGAGACCTCGCGCAACGTCCAGGCGAAGAAGGGGTTGTCGCCGGTGGAGAACGAGGAAACGAGGGGAGCGCCGATGGAGGAGATGAAGGAGAAGGGCGGCGACATCGCCTCTTCTCGTGCTATTCAGGAACCCAGCTAGGGGATCCGGTCGACGACCACGAAGGGAGAAGGGGCGCCACGGTCGCCTGCAGTTCCAGTAGGAGCGGCGCCGACCGATGCGGAGGATGCTGCCGAGGGCGCCGACGCGGGGGAGCGCTCGGCGGCGAAGGCGGCGTCGACCGACGAGGAGGAGGTGACGACGAAAGACGGCAGGGAGCTTCCTCGTGCGTCGCCGGAGAGGGAGAAGAATAATGAGGGCGAGGACGACGGCGGCGGGACCCTTTTGTCGCCGTTGAAGGAGCTGGAGAAGCAGGCGCACAGGCCGGTGGGAGTCGTGGAGACGGCGCGGGCGACAAGCAGAGGGATGGCTGATCAGTTGGTTCGCCGCGAGCGAAAAGGGGAAGCACGGAAGTCGGTGGCGGCCATCGACGAGGAGGTGACGCCGGATGCACGAGGGGAGAGGCAGCCTCGCCGCCGGGTGCGTTGGTCGGAGGAGCAGTTGACGGCGGAAGAGGAGGCATCGACGGCGGGCGGCGCGATGAGGAAGAGGAAGACGAAGAAGGATGGTGGCAGCTGTGTTTTCGCAAACCCTAGGCCTCCTGATTTGGATCGAGGGGCACGTCAGCAGCAGCTCTCCCGATCGGGCCAAGCATGTTGGGCCTTTAGTTCGGATGTTTGGACCGCAAGCCCTAATCAACTGAGGAAAGCGGGCCGAGTGAGGGAGGACAGCGGCAGTCTTCTCGCAAACCCTAGGGTGCCATCCTTGGGTCGAGTAGTGCAGCAACTGAACTCGTTGGGCTGGGCATGTTGTGAGGCGCCGCTAGTAAGGATGGGCCGACTTGGGCTCGTAAGAGGCTGGCCGGGCCCATGGTGTGAGTTGAGGGCAGAGCAGCAGAGCGGGCCAAAGGTGAAAGTGATTTGGGCCGAATGTTGGCCAAAAGAGTGGGCCTGCTATGGGTCGGAAAGGTTAGGAGGGCAGGCCAAGATTTGGGATCAGTTGGGCCGATCAGATAAGCAAAATGGACCGAAATTAGAATCTCAATGGGCTGAACAGGGATTAAGTAATAGGCCTAGTCATGGAAGGCCTAGCGGGCCTCGAGGAGATGATGGGCTGTGTCATGAAAGGTCTGGGATTCAAATGGGTTGTTTAGTTGAATCTCTATTATATGGTGTGGGCTTGGAAGGAGAGAATGATGAATATGTGGGCTTGGTAAATGAGCTCTCAAGGAAGCATAAACCATCTATATTTAAAGAAGCAACAAACCAAGGTTATGGGTCAGCTCCAACAAAGAAGTTCGAAGGCCTTGATGAACTGTTTGAATACTTCGAGGACGCGAGGATTGGGCCATCAGAATTGAAGCTTACAACTTTGCAGCGGCATTAGAAGGTCGAAGAAGAAAGGCCAAATCAAGGAGTTGAGCATGATTGGAAGAAAAGAAAGCGCAGGAAGGATGCGGATTACACGGAGAACGTGGCAGAGTGGGTCAAGTCGGTCAACCTTGAGGGCAAGGTTGGTCTGAAGGGGGAGGAGATGTTAGAAACCGATTTATGTAGGGTTTCTTTATTTATTAATATAATTATTATTAGGATAATTATCGATAAGGTTAGTAGTTATTTAGTAGGATTAGGTTTATTATTAGGGTTTCCTAGTGTTCCCTATAAATATGTACTTTGAGTCTACGTTACGGGCAGTCAAGAAAGAATTATCAAAGAATCTCCTAAACCCTAATCTCCCTATCTTCCCAATTCTCGATCTCAATCCCTCTAAAGGCCTAGGCCGATTTCCTTCTGTTCTTCCCCAATTCTTTCCCAAATCCCTAATTCTATCTTCTCAATCCCTAAATTCCCAAATATCACCCAATCCAAATCCCGTTAGAAACTTTGTTTCTAACACCAGGTAACCACCGGTATTCGGGTAACCATGAGTACGAATCCTAAACTATGAACTTATACACATAATGCACATACATACTGTTGTCCATTAAAAATTCTCAATACTTGTAACTATTCTGGCTTCAACAATCCACACAAATAAAAACAGCAAACACATAATAATTGTTCTTGCTTCTACAATCCACACAAACATAATAATCGTCTACATCTTCATCATCAATAATGGTAGTTAAACTCAATTTCTCAAACTAAACTAAATTTCAGAAGGGAAATGGACCCTTTGGTTAGCGGCGCGGGTATAACGAGGCGGGTATTATCGATTACCGTACCCGTACCCTACCCTTTATTTTGAAACCGGGTATTACCCGCCCCTTAACCCGTCAAAGCGGGTAATTACCCTCGTTGACCGGTTACGGTCGGGTAGGGTACCCATGGTTACGGGTTGGATTGACATCCCTACTGGTGACTGCCGAGTCGCGACGCATCAAACTCGATGTCCCATAAACCCGACCATTCACCGTTGCCCAACCGTGAATAAGGCGACTATGTTCCTCATCATCGTTCGAGAGATAGAGAGCGTCATGGATTATATGTATATTCGTACATGGAAGGTAAGGAGAGCGAGAAGCAAGTAGAGGCGGAAGACATAACCAAAAATCAAGAAGGAAAACGAGAAACCAATGGAATTGATTTGAAATTGTATTGATCCCTGTCGCTCTCGTTCGACATCATCATTCAACACCTTTCACCAACTCGCCATCGTTGTTGTTCTATCCGTTCTAATGGTATTTGTTCGAGCCCGGTAACTGGGCGTCCCGAACCCTCGCGCTTGACCCTTCCAGCACGCTCGAACCTGCACGCTGCACGGCTAACCTGAGTCCCGAGGAGGACTCGTTAGCACTCCAACGCCCAAGTCAGTTCCTTTTTCTAGAGAGAGAAGTGAATAGTAATTTTAGAGAGAAGTACCAACCTGAGTAAATGAAGTTCACCAACCGACTATTTATACTCGAAGCCCGGCCGACCAACATCCTTCTCCTCCGCCCCTTGCCAGACCCGCAATTAATGCTCCGTACGGCCCAGCGCTCATGCGCCTCGACCATCTGACACTCCGTTCAGAAGGGTCAGGCGCATGACGTCAGCTAGTCCTCAGACCCGTACCCTGGGACACCCCTGTGCCCACCTGTCGCACGCGCCTCGCGTCAGGGTTGCGGACCCCACCCGTCTGGAGAAGCTCTTCCCTGTCCCTGGGCCAACTTTCCCTCTGTCTCTGGGCCCATTGGGCCGGGTCCAATTCCTCAGCCTT